CACACTCACCCCTATAGCACACACTCACTCCTATAGCACACACCCGTATAACACACACTCACCCCCATAGCACACACCCCTGTAACACACACACACACCCCTCTAGCACACACTAACCCCTATAGCACACACCACTATAACACACACTCACCCCCATAGCACACACCCCTATAACACACACTCACCCCTATAGCACACACTCACCCCTATAACACACACTCACCCCTATAACACACACTCACTCCTATAGCACACACTCACCCCTGTAGCAGACACTCACCCCGATAGCACACACCCCTATAACACACACTCACCCCTATAACACACACTCACCCCTATAACACACACTCACCCCTATAGCACACACCCCTATAACACTCGCTCCCTCCTATAGCACACACCACTTTAACACTCACTCCTATAGCACACACTCACTCCAAAAGCACACACCCCTATAACACACACTCACTCCAATAGCACACACCCCTATAACACACACTCACCCCCATAGCACACACCCCTGTAACACACACACACACCCCTCTAGCACACACTCACCCCTATAGCACACACCACTATAACACACACTCACCCCCATAGCACACACCCCTGTAACACACACACACCCCTATAGCACACACTCACCCCTATAGCACACACTCACCCCTATAACACACACTCACCCCTATAGCACACACTCACCCCTATAACACACACTCACCCCTATAACACACACTCACCCCTATAACACACACTCACCCCTATAGCACACACGCATGCGAAGAGTGCACAGAAGCATGGAGAGACGCGTGTTTGGAATGACACTACGAGAGAAACGCGTGGATTGGAGAACTCACACAGAGAACAGACATCTTCATCATCATCACACTGACATCCATCCAGCAGTGGATAGACTATGATGATAGGAATTACACTGAGACAGAGAGAGCAATGCATGGATTGGAGGACTCACGCAGGGGACAGGCATCTTCATCATCATCACACTGACATCCATCCAGCAGTGCCAATAGATGATTTACCCTCGGGCCTGCCGCCGTGCGGTTTGTACGTTCGCGCGTGCGTTCCGCACATCCCACAGGTGAAGTGTGAGACGTAAACGAGTGCCGGCATTGTGACGACTTGGGTTGTTAAACGGTAACCAACAAATCGGCAATAGTGTTCCAACAGTCACGAACCGGTAACATTCCACTGGGATAGCGAACGCCCCGGTCGGCACGCGCGGGCGTACAAACCGCACAGCGGGCGAAGTCACCGCGTGGTTGATAATCCGCCCTCGTTTCTGCGTTAAAATGTAAAGGCGCAGCCCCGTGACTGCTCGTTCACAGCGCTGCTGCGGGAAGCGCCCGGGGCGTCTGGCCGAGCCGTGCACTGCGACCTCACGCGAAGCGACGTGCGAGACCAGGCGTGCGCACAACTACAACCACAACCAATACAACAACCACAACTACAACCAATACAAGAGCCACAACTATAACCACAACTACAACGAATACAACAATCACAACCACAACTACAACCACAACCAATACAACAACCACAACTACCCGACTACAACCACAACTACAACCAATACAACAGCCACAACTATAACCACTACTACAACCAATACAACAATCACAACCACAACTGAAACCAATACAACAGTCACAACCACAACGACAACCACAAGCAATACAACAACCACAACTACAACCACAACTATAATCAATACAACAATCACAACCACCCGACTACAACCACATCTACAACCACAACTAATACAACAATTAAAACCACACAAATACAACCACACAAATACAACCAATACAACAACCACAACCACCAGAATACAAACACACAACTATCATAATACAACCAATACAGCAACCACAACTACATCCACACAACTCCAACCATTACAACAACCACAACCACACAAAAACCACACGACTACAACCACTAAACTACAACCACATATAAAACGAGTACAACAACGGCAGCAACCACCAGGGCCGCTCCGGTGGTGCTGGTGGTGGTGGTGTCAGTGCCGTCACGTGACTCTCACCTGGGCCAGGTGCTTCGCTTGAGTTGTGACGCGTGGGCACCCACCAGGACCATCCACAACCACCACAACCACCTGGACCATCAACCACCACTACAACCACCACCAGGATCACCACAACCACCACCACCACAATCACCACCACAATCACCACCACCACAATCACCACCAAAGAGAAAGATCACCCGTTTAGCCTGAACAGACTGTTGGCACAAGTGCTGTAAGCGATCACCGATTAAGGCCGGCACGGCACACGAGGGGGTGGGTGGCCAGCACAACGGCCGGCCGCCTTTGTCTCCCTAGTGGCGATGTTTACAAATTGCACCAGGTATTCATTTGAGGCTGAGTCCACCTAGAGGTCGCCGGGTTCGTAGCGCAGCATAGCGCAAACCGCTACACCGCCGCTCCCCACATACCACCCCACACACCACAATCACCACCACAATCACCACGACCATCAACCACCACAATCACCACCACCACCACCACCCCGTTACCCCAATCGCCGCCGCCTCGTGGCGATCTCTTCTCTCCTCTCCCTCCTCTCCCCTCTCTCTCCTCTCTCTCTCTCAGCTATCCCCCGCGCGCTCCCTCTCTCCCCGCTCTCTCTCCATTCCTCACACCCGGGCAGCCCCCATCTCTCTCACGCTCCCCACTTCTCACCCCATTAGCTCCACCTCTCCCTCCCGTAGCACGCTCCCTCTCTCCCCCATCTCCTTCTCTCTCTTATCCATCTCCCCTCTCTCTCCCCCATCTCCCCTCTCTCTCCCCCATCTCCCCTCTTTTCCATCTCCCCTCTCTCTCCCCCATCTCCCCTATTTATCCCAGCCCAGCTCGCCTCTCTCTATCCTTCTGCTCTCCCCACCCTCTCTGTCTCCATCTCCCTTCTCTCAAACCCTCTCTCGCTCATCCCCACTCTCTCGCACTTTCTAACTCTTGACTCCACGTCTCCCCCTCTCTCTTTCACTTTCACTCTGCTCCGTATCTCGCTCACACTCTCTCACCCTTGAACTCTCTCCTCGCTCTCTCTCTCGTTATGCAAGGTGAGTGTGGGCGGAGTGAGACAGAGAGAGAGTCTCGCTCATCCCCCCTCTCCCTCCTCTCTTCCCGCCCCCCGTAACGCTCCCTCCCCCTCTCCTCCTGTGTCCATCTCTCTGCGCGGAGCGGTGGAGGGAGAGTCCGGGGTCTCCATCGCTCTCTGCCACTCGGGGAGAGACGGGGGAGAGATCGCACGGGAAGAGTTCCTCTGGAGAGCAGCGCTCAAATCTGGCGCGGTCGGGAGATCGAGAGAGAGAGAGTGGGTGGGAGAGAGTGAGATAGTGAAAGAGAGAGTGAGAGTGGGTGGGAGAGAGTGAGAGAGTGAGATAGTGAAAGAGAGAGAGAGTGAGAGAGTGGGTGGGAGAGAGTGAGAGAGAGTGAGAGAGAGAGAGAGAGTGAGAGTGGGTGGTAGATAGTGAGAGAGTGAGAGAGAGTGAGAGAGTAAGGGTGAGCGAGTAAAGGTGAGCGAGTAACGGTGAGAGAGTAAGGGTGAGAGAGTGAGAGGGTAAGGACTGAGAGAGTAAGGAGTGAGAGAGTAAGGGTAAGAGAGTGTGATAGTAAGGAGTGAGATAGTGAGAGGGTAAGGAGTGAGAGTGTAAGGAGTGAGAGAGTAAGGGGTGAGAGAGTACGGGTGAGAGACTGAGAGTGTGATAGTAAGGGTGAGAGAGTAAGGAGTGAGAGAGTAAGGGGTGAGAGAGTGAGAGGGTAAGGAGTGAGAGAGTAAGGGTGAGAGAGTAAGGAGTGAGAGAGTAAGGGGTGAGAGAGTAAGGAGTGAGAGAGTAAGGGGTGAGAGAGTTTGAGAGTGTGATAGTAAGGAGTGAGAGAGTGAGAGGGTAAGGAGTGTGAGAGTAAGGGGTGAGAGAGTAAGGGGTGAGAGGGTAAGGAGTGAGAGAGTAAGGGTGAGAGAGTAAGGAGTGAGAGGGTAAGGGGTGAGAGAGTGAGAGAGTGAGGAGTGAGAGAGTGAGAGGGTAAGGAGTGAGAGAGTAAGGGGTGAGAGAGTGAGGAGTGAGAGAGTAAGGGGTGAGAGAGTAAGGGGTGAGAGAGTAAGGGGTGAGAGAGTGAGAGGGTAAGGAGTGAGAGAGTAAGGAGTGAGAGAGTAAGGGTGAGAGAGTGTGATAGTAAGGAGTGAGAGAGTAAGGGTGAGAGGGTAAGGAGTGAGAGAGTGAGAGATAAGGAGTGAGAGGGTAAGGAGTGAGAGAGTAAGGGTGAGAGAGTAAGGGTGAGAGAGTAAGGGGTGAGAGAGTCGAGGCAGGGAGCGCCACAGCGGGAAACTCGGCGCTGCTGGCGGTGGTTGTTGTTGGTGGTGGTTAATGGTGGTTGTTAGTGGTGGTGGTTAATGGTGGTTGTTGTTGGTAGTGGTGGTGGTTAGTGGTGGTTAGTGGTGGTTGTTAGTGGTGGTGGTTAATGGTGGTTGTTGTTGGTAGTGGTGGTGGTTAGTGGTGGTTGTTAGTGGTGGTGGTTAATGGTGGTTGTTGTTGGTAGTGGTGGTGGTTAGTGGTGGTTGTTAGTGGTGGTGGTTAATGGTGGTTGTTGTTGGTAGTGGTTAGTGGTGGTTGTTAGTGGTAGTGGTTAGTGGTAGTGGTTAGTGGTAGTGGTTGGTGGTGGTTAGTGGTGGTTGTTAGTGGTGGTGGTTAGTGGTAGTGGTTGGTGGTGGTGGTTAGTGGTGGTTGTTAGTGGTGGTGGTTAGTGGTGGTTAGTGGTTGGTGGTGCTGGGGTCAAGTTCGAGGTTTGTGGACGTGGTGCTGGTGGTGGTGATTTTGGTGGTGGTAGTTGGTCGTGGTTGTGTTGATGGTGATTGGTCGTGGTGTTTGGTTGTGGTGTTAGTTGTGTTGTTGGTGTTTGTGGTCAGTTGTGGTGGTTGGTGGTGGTGGCATCGTGACTCTGTGTGCTTCGCTGAGCGATGGCCGGTCGTGAGGGGGTGACGCTGACTCCCTTCTCGATCCGCTACATCTTGGACGGCTCTCACTGCGGGCCTGGGGACGACTCCAGCGACGAGGAGGAAGAGGAGGACAGAGATCGAGGAGGAGGAGGAGGAGATGATGATGACGATGACGATACGTTCTACCCCCCACGTCACTCAATTCGGGGGCTCCCTTTAGCCGGGGACCCCGAGAAGGACCTCTGCGAATGCCACCGTGACCCCAGCGACGAGGGGGATGATGACGACGATGATGATGAAGAGGTGGAGGAGGTTCAGAAAAAGGAAGACGAGGATTTTGAGGAGGAGCCGGTGGGATTGGACTCGGCGAGATCGCGTGATGGTGCGTACTGCAGCCTCACCATCATCAGTAGCAGCATCGGCAGCATCATTGATTGCAAATCCCCATCATCATTACCACCACACATGGGTGCTAGCTACACCTGTGTGTAACTATCTCACCTGTGGGTTACTATTACACCTATGTGTTACCGTCTCACCTGTGTTACTATCTCACCTGTGTCTTACTAGCTCACCTGTGTTACTATTTCACCTGTGTGTAACTATCTCACCTGTGCGTTACTATCTCACCTGTGTTACTATCACACCTGTATGTAACTATCTCACCTGTGTTACTATCTCACCTGTGTTACTATCACACCTGTGTGTAACTAGCTCACCTGTGTTACTATCTCACCTGTGGGTTACTATTACACCTATGTGTTACCGTCTCACCTGTGTTACTATCTCACTTGTGTCTTACTAGCTCACCTGTGTTACTATCTCACCTGTGTTACTATCACACCTGTGCGTTACTATCTCACCTGTGCGGTACTATCTCACCTGTGTTACTATCTCACCTATGTGTAACTATCTCACCTGTGTTACTATCTCACCTGTGTGTAACTAGCTCACCTGTGTTACTATCTCACCTGTGTGTAACTATCTCACCTGTGTTACTATCTAACCTGTGTTACGATCTCACCTGTGTGTAACTAGCTCACCTGTGTTACTATCTCACCTGTGTGTAACTATCTCACCTGTGTTACTATCTAACCTGTGTTACGATCTCACCTGTGTGTAACTAGCTCACCTGTGTTACTATCTCACCTGTGTAACTATCTCACCTGTGTGTTACTATCTAACCTGTGTTACGATCTCACCTGTGTGTAACTAGCTCACCTGTGTTACTATCTCACCTGTGTAACTATCTCACCTGTGTGTTACTATCTCACCTGTGCTACTATCTCACCTGTGTAACTGTTTCAACTGTGTTACTATCTCACCTGTTACTATCTCACCTGTGTGTAACTATCTCACCTGTGTGTAACTATCTCACCTGTGCTACTATCTCACCTGTGTAACTGTTTCACTTGTGTTACTATCTCACCTGTGTTACTATCTCACCTGTGTGTAACTAGCTCACCTGTGTTACTATCTCACCTGTGTGTAACTAGTTCACCTGTGTTACTATCTCACCTGTGTGTTACTATCTTACCTGTGTTACTATCTCACCTGTGTTACTATCTCACCTGTGTGTAACTAGTTCACCTGTGTTACTATCTCACCTGTGTTACTATCACACCTGTGCGTTACTATCTCACCTGTGTGTTACTATCTCACCTGTATTACTATCTCACCTGTGTGTTAATATATCACCTGTGTGTAAATATCTCACCTGTGTTACTATCTCACCTGTGTGTAATTATCTCACCTGTGTTACTATCTCACCTGTGTGTAACTAGCTCACCTGTGTTACTATCTCACCTGTGTTACGATCTGACCTGTGTGTAACTAGCTCACCTGTGTTACTATATCACCTGTTTGTAACTATCTCACCTGTGTATTACTATCTCACCTGTGTTTCTATTTCATCTGTGTATTACTATCTTACCTGTGTTACTATCTCACCTGTGTTACTATCTCACCTGTGTGTAACTATCTCACCTGTGTGTAACTATCTCACCTGTGCTACTATCTCACCTGTGTAACTGTTTCACCTGTGTTACTATCTCACCTGTGTGTAACTATCTCACCTGTGTTAACTATCTCACCTGTGTCTTATTAGCTCACCTGTGTCTTACCCTCATACCTGTGTTACTATGACACCTGTTTAAAAAGCACACCTGGGGGTTTACTCAACCCATTATACTCCTACGGTCGATAAAATAGCGACTACTTTGTTGGTAAAATCAAAACTGGTTCTATAGATAGACTCGCCCCGACATAGGAACGTGGAATTTCCATCACTATATTCTGCAGCGGGGCTGTCCAGGGCTGGAGTTGGGACGCGCTCTGTGCTGTCACGGCGTCGTCTGGGGGCCGTTACGGAAACATGATAGTCGACGTTTCGGGAAATGGCCCTTCTTTATTCCACGTTAAATCAGCATGCAATAAATAAATAAGGTTACTTTGCAGAAGAGCTGTTGCCCGAAACATAGCCTATTATTCATGTATCTGTTGGGTATGGAGGCCACCCACAAAGATGTCGTTGTTGTTGACACGAAACGCGTGGAGCTGCTGGTGTTGAGGTTGTTGTTGGTTGTGGTTGTTGTGGTGTTAGTTGTTGGTTGTGGTGTTTGTAGTTGGTGGTGGTTGTGGTGTTTGTTGTTGGTGGTGGTTATTGTTGTTGACTGTGCGCGACTGTCAACGCAGCAGCAGCGGCGGCGTGAACACAATTTGTGTAATCGGACAAGAGCCTGGCATTGTTCTGACCAGAACGAGACCAAATTCGGACATCTCTGACTAACATCTCACCAGACATGCCATGTGACCATCACTGGGACCCGACTGCGATACACACTCCCAACGCAGCTGCATCAACGCTGACATCCACCACACAGCACCGAACGGCTTCCATCGCCGACGTCGACCGAAACTGGGACGCAATCGGACATTGCCGAGGTGAAAGTGGCGCGAGAATTCGGACGAGGAGAGAGAAAAGCGGAGCAAACTTTGGACGTGTCCGACGCTAACCTGACATCGGTGTCTTGATCATTTTATTTGTTATTCACCTCACTCGGACAACAAACTTTCCCCGAAACTTACCAACACTCTACCAAAATCGGACGCTATTCTGACCGAAAATCGGAACGAAATCTGACATGCAGGTTCCCACAGTGGGACGTGAACCCCGCTGCCGAGAGACGATTCCAGTGAAGAATCGCGCACGCGCACACGGCGCACGTTTAGCACTCACACGAACGTGACACAGTTACACACAAAGACGAACATTGTGCTAACGTGACACACACACACACTCCTTACATACACACTAGTTACACACACACGTCATACATACACGTTACACAAACACACTCGTTACACACACACTCGTTACACACACACTCACCCGTTACACACACACACACTCGTTACACACACACACACTCGTTACACACACACACTCTTTTCATGTACACATTACGCACACACACTCGTTACACACACACTCGTTACACACACACACACTCGTTACACACACACACACACTCGTTACACACACACTCGTTACACACACACACACTCGTTACATGTACACATTACACACACACTCGTTACAAACACTCGTTACACTACACGCACTCGTTACACACACACGTTATATGTACACATTACACACACACTCGTTATATGTACACATTACACACACACTCGTTATATGTACACATTGCACACACTCGTCACACACACAGGTCAAACGTACACGTCACACACACACACACGGTATAGGGGTAGTGGTCGTAACTGGCTGGTGATGTGTATTGTGGTGATGTTCCAGTGGAACTAGAGAGTTTAACTGCTTCACGGTAACTGTGTGGCTTCTCTGCTGCCCGCACCCGCGTGTGTGTGTGTGTCTGTGTGTGTGAGTGTCTGTGTGTGTCTGTGTGTGCCTGTGTGTGTGTGTCTGTGTGAGTGTCTGTGTGTGTCTGTGTGTGTGTGTATACTCGTGTGTGTGTGTTTGTGTGTATGTGTGTGTTTGTGTGTATGTGTGTGTGTTTGTGTGTGTGTACACGTGTGTGTGTATACACTCGTGTGTGTGTGTTTGTGTGTATGTGTGTGTATGTGTGTGTGCGTTTGTGTGTATGTGTGTGTATACACTCGTGTGTGTATGTGTGTGTATACACTCGTGTATGTGTTTGTGTGCGTATACACTCGTGTGTGTGTTTGTGTGTGTATGTGTGTGTTTGTGTGTACACTTGTGTGTGTGTTTGTGTGTATGTGTGTTTGTGTGTATGTGTGTGTACACACGTGTGTGTGTGTATGTGTGTATGTATGTGTGTATGTGTGTGTACACTCGTGTGTGTGTTTGTGTGTATGTGTGTGTACACTCGTGTGTGTGTGTTTGTGTGTATGTGTGTATGTATGTGTATGTGTGTGTACACTCGTGTGTGTGTATTTGTGTGTGTTTGTTTGTGTGTATGTGTGTGTAGACTCGTGTGTGTTTGTGTGTGTGTTTGTGTGTGTGTGATGGTCGTGGTTGTGACAATTGCGAGCGCCGTTTTCACTCCGAGTTTGGGCCGCAGCGCGCTGAGTGCGCAGAAGCTGAGCGGGTTCAGCCCGGGGGGGGGGCAGCTGAGAGAGCCCCCCACTCAACACCAGCAGCATCACCACCATTATCATCATCTGTGAACCGAGTAATTCGCCTCCCGTGGAGAAAGACGCTACAGCCGATGGAAAGCGTGAAAGCCCACGCTACCAGGCACTTGTGTATGTATATAAGATACACACACAAATCCTTAACTGGCTGTTGGGGCAACTGCTGTTAGCGAGCACCCGGCATGGCACACGAGGGGCTGGGTGACGAGGGGCTGGGTGACCAGCACCACCACCGGCCGCATTAGTCTCCCGAGTGGCGATGTTCACACACCGCACCAGGCATTCATTTAGATAATCGTTGCTGGTGCTGCGCTTGCGCGGGAATCGAACTCGGGTCGCCAAGTACGTAGCTCACCGCGCTAACCACTGCGCCACCGTTCCTCACCAAATGTACCCGCTTACCAAACGCACAACCGGTCACTCTAAATTACACAGCAGATACCGAGAGTACTCCCTAAAATACACGAATACCTACAGAGCCATCCACACGGAGAGCGACACTCGTCACGGCGAGTTGCTGCTGCATGGTGCGTCGAGGAGTCTCCGTGTGCCCGTGTCCTGTTCACAGCACCACACGCACAGCGGTGGACAGGACACGTTCCTCCACTGATAATTATTATAACTCACGAACGCGGTGGCTTTCGGTGGTGGTGCTGACACGGTAATGTGTAGGCACGAATATTCATCACGTGACAACATTGTTGATTGGCTGTCGGGTGGAGGAGGGTTTACCACACACATTTTACTTACGCGGCGATTTTACCCAAACACATTGATTGTGAATCCCGACCCGGTGCGTTCCCTGATCCACGCGTTCCTCTCCGCGTCGCTCAGTGACATTCCCAACAGACGCGAGGGAGCTCTCACGGCAACCGAACCACAGCGTGAGGCCCACACACACAGCACGATCACAAGAACTGTGTATATATATACGCGTACAGACAAACCCCCCGTAAAGTCTTAACAGACCTTTGGGGAAAGCGCTGTTAGCGAGCACCGATGAAGACCGGCACGGCACACGAGGGGGTGGGTGACCACCACCACGCCTGGCCGCCTTTGTCTTCATAATGACGATGCTTACACACCGCATCAGGAATGAATTTGAGGCTGAATCAACCTAGGGGAGGTCCAGGACCGTTTCAGATCATTTATAACCGATGTTGACCGTGAGCGGGACTCGTCCTCTGATTGCCGAGTTCCTCGTGCAGCGCACTCTCCGCTGCACAACTTCTCACCACGCATATACGCACACACACACATTTTGACATATATACATATACACATCGTCATTCATGTAACATTTATTATAAACCGCTGAACATCGCAAACCACACCAACGCCACAAATGGTACGAGACACAAGAGAGAGACGACAGAGACTTTTAAAACAACTTTATTACCGCCAGCAGCAACAGCACTGGTGGCGATTTCGATGTGAATTACACAGTCACCAGCAAACAAATGAAAATAAACGCTACAAATCCACGCGCTGTGGCGCTAAAAGCACCGCGCACAACACGAAGGAAAAGGCACGTGGTGGTGGTGGAGAGAGAGAGACAAGAGACAAGAGAGAGACAAGAGAGAGACGAAACAACACGTGCATGGGTGCGGGGGAGAACACAGCAGAGATCGAAGATAAAATCCAGTGGTATAGAGGATATTACTATTACCATAATAACAACGAACGTTACTCGCGATGTTATTTTAATTTATTAAAGTAGAGCGGTGGGTTAGTGGTTAGCGCTTCGCCGCGCTACAATCCCAATCACCCGGGTTCGAATCCCGCTCACGGTCAGCACCGGTGACAATTAACTGAACCGGCCCTGGGCTTCCCCTAGGTCGACTCAGCCTTAAATGAGTGCCAGGTGCGGTGTGTAAACATCGTTACTAGGGACACAAAGGCGGCCGAGCGTGATGCTGCACATCCACCCCCTCGTGTGCCGTGCCGGCCTTCATAGGTGCTCGCTAACAGCACTTGCTCCAACAGTCTGTTCAGGCTATACGGGGGATCGATAGTGGCCCTAGGAGCGACGCTCACAACAACGAGCAGAGGGCCGGGCAGCTAAAACGCAGAAAGTTGGCACAGTGGGGAGCACCGGTGGTGAATCTGCCAGTCGTCTCGGTCAGTCAACTCTGGGCACCTGGGTCTGTTCCGTGACCTGCCAGTGGGCCTTCGACACTTCACGTGGCCTCATATTGCACCGAGCCTGGCACAAGCGCCGTTGTGATGTCACCGCCACTTAGTGGTTGTTATTATTGTGGCCGCGCTCAGATTTGATTTCACAACGATTCATTTCGTCTGTGCGCTATTTGTGGTTTCCCACGTGGTAGTCGATTTTGGGTTTGTTCTGATTTCGCTTTGTGATTTTGCGGCAGTGGTGAGCCAGGCCACTCCGTATCCTGGTCTCCTGAGTTCTCACCCTGAATACACACAGAGTCACCTTGAAACCTCAACACACTCACTCACTCACTCACCGTCTTCCCTCACGCACCATCTCAACCATCACACCGCTCACTCACCGGTTCACTCACCCGTCCACTCACCCGTTCACTCACCCGCTCACTCAGTCACTCACTCTTCATCTCCCTCAATCATTTACCCACTTTCCCGCCATCTCACCCATCATCTCACTCATCCACTCACTCACCGGCTCGTTCATCCACTCACCCGCTCACTCACCCACTCACCCGCTCACTAACCCACTCACCCGCTCACTCACCAACTCACCCCTCACTCACCCACTCACTCTTGCAATGCGATTCTGTTCTGCTCTCTTGGACTCTCACCTGCATAAAATGGTTGCGTGCGTGTGCGCGTACAGGACACGCGACTTCCTCCACCGTGAATTCACGAGTACCCAGCATCAGCAGCAGCATCAGCAGCATCATCATCAGCAGCATCACCAACAGCAAAATCACAAATAGCATAATCAGCAGCAACGGCGTCAACAGCAGCAGCATCAACACCAGCAGCATCAGCAGCATCATCGGCAGCGTCATCAGCAGCAACAGCAGCAGCATCATCAGCAGCATCAGGAACAGCGGTGGGATCGCCAACACCAGCAGCATCAGCAGCAGCAGCAACAGCAGGAGCAGCAGCAGCAGCAGCATCAGGAACAGCGGTGGGATCGCCAACACCAGCAGCATCAGCAGCAGCAGCAACAGCATCAACAGCAGGAGCAGCAGCAGCATCAGCAGCAGCAGCAGCATCAGCAGCAGCCCATCGAGAGTGGTCGAGACCCCGCGCGGGGGGGACCCCCTCCCTCGGAAGAAGCGGTCCCGAGCGGCCTTCACTCACGCTCAGGTGCCCCCCACTACCACTCCACTCACGCTCAGGTGCCCCCCACTACCCCTCCACTCACGCTCAGGTGCCCCCCACTACCCCTCCACTCACGCTCAGGTGCCCCCCACTACCACTCCACTCACGCTCAGGTGCCCCCCACTACCCCTCCACTCACGCTCAGGTGCCCCCCCCTACCCTTCCACTCACGCTCAGGTGCCCCCCACTACACTCACGCTCAGGTGCCCCCCACTACCACTCCACTCACGCTCAGGTGCCCCCCACTACCCCTCCACTCACGCTCAGGTGCCCCCCACTACCACTCCACTCACGCTCAGGTGCCCCCCACTACCACTCCACTCACGCTCAGGTGCTCCCCACTACCACTCCACTCACGCTCAGGTGCCCCCCACTACCCCTCCACTCACGCTCAGGTGCCCCCCACTACCCCTCCACTCACGCTCAGCTGCCCCCCACTACCACTCCACTCTCACTGTTGTCGTTGTTGTGGTTGTCGCTGTGGGCGCACCAGGTGTTCGAGCTGGAGCGTCGCTTCAGCCAGCAGCGCTACCTCTCGGGTCCCGAGCGCGCCGACGTGGCCGCCACGCTCGGCCTCACGGAGACCCAGGTCAAGATCTGGTTCCAGAACCGGCGCTACAAGACCAAGCGGCGACACGTGGCGGCAGCGGCAGCAGCGGCGGCAGCAGCAGCAGCGGCGGCGGCGGCAGGGAGTGCACTGCACCATCACCACCTCCAGCACCACCACCACCTCCAGCAGCAGCAGCAGCAACAGGCGACCCTGTGCGCGCTGGAGCAACACCACCACCAACATCTCAACCGCAGCGGCAACCACCACTTCCACGCCCTGCAGCACTACCGGCTACAGCTGCAGCAGCAATTGCAGCAACGTCATCATCATCATCATCAGCAGCAGCAGGTGGTGCAGCAGCTGTCCGTACCCGCGGCGCGCAGGGTGGCTGTGCGCGTCCTCGTGCAGGAAACGCAGGGGGTCTGTGGGGACCCCCCCGAAGGCCGCCCGGCCAACACGGCCGGAGCCTTCGCTGGCCTCCCATCTGGACCCCAATACGGACCCCTGTGCGGAGCTCTCGCTGGAGCCCCGGGGCTCGGGGACCTTCGCGCGCTGCTCCCGATACCCGGAGCCGCGCGATCGCTGCAGCGCGACCTCGCCTCCTTGGCACCCATTCACCATCATCAGCAGCAGTATCATCAGCAAGCCTTTCCGCTGGCTGCAGCACTGCTACAGCTGCCCGCGTATTGGAGGCCCGGGCCTGCGGGGCCCTCGCTTCTCCAGGTCCAGCAGCCGAGCCACGCGTTCACGGCTCCCTTCCAGCAGAAGCGGTGAGGACGGCCCCGGCGGTGTGGGAGGTGAAAAACCGCGGAGGGGGGAGATCGTCCACCCTCGTTCGTCGTAGACTTAATGAGGAGTCCGCAGCACCCCCGAGTCTCCCCCTCCGGGTAGACCGGACACCACGCCGGGCCACCACCACCAGCACCACCACCACCACCAGCAGCAGCCTCTCCAAAAGACACGTGGCCAGCAGCAAGCGGTGTCGCGAGTTCACAACCTGGTCGGGGTGGGAGGCTGACTCAGCCCATCATCATCCCTCCTTCACGCCGGGGGCCAATAAAATGAGTTACACTTTGTGGGGAAAGTCAACAGTGGTTGTCCTATGGAATGACTCGCCCCCATCACATGAATGTGGAAATCCCACCACTGGCTCTTCAGGGCTTTAAATAGATTAGCGCCAATGTCTCGATGCTTATTTGAACAGCATGGAATCACTCTGGCTTTGTGTGTTTTAAAGAGAGCAAACGCTGAACCGTTTCGACATTCTGGCTCTCATCAGCAGAACCAGGCCATGTTAAATGTAGGCCGGTGAATTCCTCGACGCTCCTGGAAAGAGTCCCACGCACACACTCAGTCCGCGTTGTCGACTCCCCAGTGTGAATCCGGCGTGCGTGTACGTGTGCAGTGCCGGCCATAATAGGTGCTCGCTAACAGCACTTGCCCTAGCAGTCTGCATGGCTACACAGGGGGATATTTGTATTGTGTGGTTGTGCAGTGTTGGTTATCTTCATGGGTGCTCGCTAACAGCACGGTCCCCGTGGACCGCACTAATAAACGGGAGGTCCCTGCACACGTGCGTGTGGCTTTATGCCTTAATAGGCGTTCACTACTCATGGCACTTGTCCCGACAGTCTGTAGAGGCTACACGGAGGATCTTTGTATTTTTGTGCTTTTGTCAAGTACGCGTGCGATGACGCTCCCCGCTGGGGTCCGGTGGATGATCGGGACTCGACCCGTGATGCACACTTTTACAATCGTCGAGTTCAATTCCTGCTAAGGGCGCGAAGGAAGTCGCCGCTGTGGTGAGCGGACAGCGGCCTCGAGTGGCCGTGAATGAGCGGCGTGAACGAGCGGCGTGCGACCCTCGCCACGAGGACTCTGACCGCGCGCGCAGTCTCCCCGGCACGCTTCGTGGGGGCGTTCGCTGCCCGCTTGGTGCAGAGCTTCGCGGTTCGACTCCGGGCAGCAGTATTAATCAGGCCGCCCTGATTAATACTGCGGTCTATGTATTAACAATAAAATATGCTTAACTGTACAGAAATTCAACACACATATATACATACAATAGGCGACGTTTCGGAAAGTAGACCCTCTTCATCGCACGTAAGATGATGGCTTCACAATTTAACATTTAAGATCCAGTGACGAAACGGCGTCACGGTCCGAATAGTGAAACATGACACTGTAAATTAATCACTCAATCGGGATCAGTACACAGCATTAGTACACAAAGCAGTGCACACAGCCGCACACACAGCAGCACACACAGCAATACACACAGTATCAGTACACACAGTATCAGTACACACAGCAGCAGTACACACAGCAGCAGTACACACAGCACATACAGCAGCATACACAGTAGTACACATCAGCACACAACAGCTACATAAAGGATAGCGCCCACACCACAGATGCTGATGATTTGATGTTATTTATCTTGATTTTAAATAAACGATGCTATTAGTCGATGCTGTTAGTCGATGCGTGATTTCACCCCGAGTGCCCGATACCCGTAGTGGAGCGTTTGTGCGAAAAAATCTGAAAAAACAAACAAATAAATAACTCCACCTCGGGCTTTCTTACAGATAAATAAAATATATTTAGATTTAGCACATCAACTTATCGGGCTTCCACACGCAACACTCTGGATTTCGGCTGTCTGGGCTCGTCAGAAGAGTCGGGTCTATTATATATTTATATATATTACATATATATTTATATATGTGTGTGTCTAGGGCGGAGCGGTGGCACGGTGATTAGCGCGCTGCACTACGAACCCGGCGATCCGAGTTCGATTCCCACACACGACCAGTAATTGGTCCGAGGGATCCGCTAGGTCGACTCAACCTGAAATGAGTAAAGTACCTGGTGCGGTGTGAACATTCGCACTGGGGACAGCAAGGCGGCCGGGCGTGGCGACATCAACCCTGAGTGTGCACCCTACCGCCTTCATAGATTCGCTAACAGCACTTGCTCAAACAGTCCGTTGAAGTATATATTCTTTGTTTTTTTTTCGGTAAAGTCACGTAGGTAAAAGAAAAGAAAACAACTCAATTAAATCACGACGTTTCGGAGGCAACACAAGCTTCCGTCTTCAGGTGGAATAGTCACAGCAGAATATCTGTGTCAAGTCCGTTGAAGGTTGTACGGGGGGGGATTTGTATCGGTACTTAGACACGCATGTCGATCGGATGTGTTCGGATCAGCTGAGTGACTGTCACAGGCCGCCGTGCGGGTTGCACGTTGGAAAATAACTTACCAATCGCTACGGTTCATACACATTCCGAACCGGTTATTGTTTAAAACCCGTACATTTTTCACCGTAACGTCCCGATTATAACATTTCGTCATAGGATGAAATCGGTCACGTGTGGATTAATATTTTTGAGGACAGCCCGTCCTACAAAGGGGGTGAATTTCCCTTTGAAAATTCCACTTACAACTCAATCGCTGCGTCCCGAAAGCGACTTTATTTACGATTTTTTGTTTAAATCTCATTTCTGAATTCGGCAGTGAGCGTTGTTCCCCGACTCGAGTGAGCGGAGAATGCTCGGCCCGTCGTTAAACTGCTCGCACACGTGCGTGCTGTGTCGGGTGGTGCAAGGTCTTGACGACACAAACGTGGCCAGATCATGACGTGGCCTTACCCGAAAATCACGTGTGCATCAAGGATTAAAGAGCTGATTTTGATTTGTCCTGTCCGAGAGAAGGAATCGTTTTAAGGATGGACGAATACCCCTGATCCATCCCATCACGGTCAGTCAGAACGAACGCCACTTACTCCAACCACATGATCATTGGACAACGAACGCTTGTATAATATATACAATGTACGAACGTGTATGTGTGCCTAGTAACTATGTCTATTTGTACACCCTGTATATATGGTGTGTCTATGTCTAGTATATGTCTATGTGTGTGTGTACACCCTGTATATATAGTGTGTGTACTGTAGTATATGCCTATGTGGGCGGAGTGGGAGCGGTGGAGCAGCTTTTAGCGCATTGCACTACGAACCCGGCGAACTAGGTTCGATTCCCCACCAACTAGGTCAACTCAGCCTTAAATGAGTGTTGTGGTGTGGTGTGTAAAGCATCATCACGCGCTAGAGAGACAAAGGCGGCGGAGAGTGGTTCTGACGAAAGAACTCGTGCCGGCCTTAATAGGTGCTCACAAATAGCACTTGTCCCCAAACGTCTGTCAAGGCTATACGGGGGTCTTTGTGTACAGTCCTTTTACATGCATATTCGTCCATCCAAACTCGGCGTGGTTGTGCGGTTAATTTATTACAATCATACCGGATTATAAGATGCACTTCGTTCCCCAGCTGATTTATAATTCGATTAAGGATGCGTCTTATACTCCGGTAGGTGTGACCTGATTCGTGAACGTTAGTGACGCCGGGAACAAGTTTGGAGTGCGTCTTACTTTCCGGAGCGTCTTATAATCAGGAGAATGCGGTAAATAACTGCGTAAACTCGAGGGAAACTAATCTCAGTCGCATTACGTTTCGGTAGAACGTCTGACCCCTAAGTTATATTCGTCTTATAAGTTATATCCGTCTCATAAAATGCGTGCGCTGTTCAATGACAATACGGTATATGTATATACAGTACACGCGTTCGTGAAGGCTGCCGATTCTCTTGCTGCTGCTCATTATAACTCAGCGATCATTGAGACAACCACTCTAATTTACACTCAATACCTGTGGGCGTGATTACACATGAACACATACAGCTACACAACATCAACCTTACAGCAACACATCAACCATGCAGCAACACAACATCAACCATACAGCAACACAACATCAACCTTACAGCAACACAATATCAACCTTACAGCAACACAATATCAACCTTACAGCAACACAACATCAACCTTACAGCAACACAACATCAACCTTACAGCAACACAACATCAACCTTACAGCAACACAACATCAACCATACAGCAACACATCATCAACCTTACAGCAACACATCATCAACCATACAGCAACACAACATCAACCTTACAGCAACACACCATCAACCTTACAGCTACACAGCATCAGTAATACAGCAACACATCAGTCATACAGCAACACAACATCAACCATACAGCAACACAACATCAACCTTACAGCAACACAACATCAACCATACAGCTACACAACATCAACCTTACAGCAACACAACATCAGTCATACAGCAACACAACATCAACCTTACAGCAACACAACATCAACCATACAGCAACACAACATCAACCATACAGCAACACAACATCAACCTTACAGCAACACAACATCAACCTTACAGCAACACAACATCAGCCTTACAGCAACACAACATCAACCTTACAGCAACACAACATCAACCTTACAGCAACACAACATCAGTAATACAGCAACACAACATCAACCTTACAGCAACACAACATCAACCTTACAGCAACACAGCATCAACCATACAGTAACACAACATCAGTAATACAGCAACACAACATCAACCATACAGCAACACATCACCCATACAGCAACACAACATCGCAAGTGCCATCGTGAACAATCTAAAAGATAACCAAACAGACTCCACGCCTCCTCCTCCGCACATATACGTGATTATTTTATACATCCCATCAGCCGTATGGCCCTTCCTTCTGGAAGTGCATCTCATCAGCAGTATTGGTTCAACACAAACAACAACTCTGGACCGGCTCCGACATCCAGTGTCTCATCAGCAGAGTTCAGGCTTGTTTCAAATGCATGTGTGTCATTTCTGTAAACATTGTTGCATTTTGAGTGCTAAAATTACATATATACACAGTGTGAAAGCTAATGTGTATTTACTGGTTTTGTAAATACTTTATATATGTGTGTGAGTCGATGTAACGAGATCTGACATACGGAGATGACCATAGAGGACTTGCGTGAGTGACCGGCGTGAATTCTCGTGATATTCTAAATTAAATATTTTTAAAAACATTTTACCGGGTAAGGCCCACTGAGCTACAAATGATATCTCAACGAAGAGGTTTATAATATGTACATGTATAGCAGCCAAATACTCTGAACGCGTGATGTTGAGTCTCGAAGGGCGAGAGCGCCTCGTGGGTGATGCGAAGTCTCGTGGTGTTCGAGAAGCGCAAGGACGCGGAGTGGCTTCATTGCTCTTCGCGCTAAACACAAACACACACATTGGTGAACCGAGTAATTCGCCTCCCGTGGAGTGTGAGGCTACAGCCGATAGAAAGCTAGCGAAACCACACGTGTGTGTGTATATACAAAGACACACACACACATGTAATGTGCGGTAGAGCGGGCTCGTGTTGTGCTGCATACCCGGTGCACCGACTTCAATTCCTAGCCACTCATGCCAACATCCGTGGTGAGTGCGATGTGAGGCGGCCCTGGCCCCTCATCTGGTGGAGTTTGGTCGTCAAACCCTCCCCGCCACGAGCCACACGGCGTGGGTAGCCCTTCATGCAGCAGTGGATTGAGGAAGGAGGGCCTGTAACGCCCGACGACTCCACGCACGTGTGTTTGTGGGTGTGTACGCGCACGTACACACACAAATATACTCTGGATGTGTGTGTAGGTGTGTGATCGCGCTATAAGGCAGGTTATTGTGACAAACTGTCAGCTTTACATAAACCCGTGTGGCGTTCCGTCATGTTAATAGCACAGACACACACACATATACACACACGGCTATATATATCTCTATATACCAAGGCAAAGGTCCCCCTATTATCGCCTTACCAGACTCGAGGGACAATTGCTGATAGCGAGGCACACGAGGGGGTGGGTGGCCAACACCACGACCGACCGCCTTTGTCTCTCTAGTGGCGATGTTTACACATCGCGCCAGGTACTCATTTGAGGCTGAGTCGACCTAGGGGAGGCCCATAACTGGTCCAGATACTTGTCACGGTGTCTCTGTGCGCTAACCGCTGCACTACCGCTACACAGAGACACACACACAGAAACAAAAAAAACAAAGATCCCCCATATAGCCTTAACAGACTGTAGGGGCAAGTGCTGTTAGCGAGCACCTATGAAGGCCGGAACGGTACACGAGGGGGTGGGGTGGCCAGCACCACGCCCGACCGCCTTTGTCTCCCTAGTGGCAATGTTTACTACACACCGCACCAGGTACTCATTTGAGGCTGAGTCGACCTAGGGGAGGCCCAGGACCGGTTCAGATAATCGTCACTGGTGTTGGCCGTGCGCGGGAATCGAACCCGGGTCGCCAGGTTCATAGCGCAGCGCGCTAACCGCTACACTACCGCTCAGAAACACACACAGAGACACACACACAGAGAGACACACACAGAGACGCACACACAGAGACACACACACAGAGACACACCGCCCTTCAGAGGTGCTCGCCAACAGCACTGGCCCCAAAGGTCTGTTCAGGCTGTACGGGGGGATCCGTCTCCTTTCCTGGCGTGAGCGAGAGGAGTGTAATGGGTGGGTGCCCGATACACGAGCGGTGAGTGCGAAGCGCTACCAACCCGGCGACCGCTCACGGCCAACATCGGTGACGAACATCTGGACCAGTCGTGGGCCTCCCCTAGGTCGACTCAGACTTAAATTAGTACCTGGTGTGGTATGTTAACGTTGCCACTAGGGAGACAAAGGCGGCAGGGCGTGATACTGGCCACCCACCTCCCTCGTGTGCCGTACCGGCCTTCATAGGTACTCGCTATCAGCACTAGCCCCAGATGTATGTTAAGGATATAC